TCCTCTGTCATTTCCCCACCATTTCCTCCTCCACTGTGGCCTTTAATGTTTTCTTTCTAGATTCTGAATTAGGAACCGCTCATTCTTTGGAATTCAGTGAAAAGGCTTTGTGTTAAAGACTAAAGTCAAATTGTTTGAGTCTTGCTGAGTCCCGGCCCCACTGCGGAGCAGGTGGTCACTGGGCCAGTGTCAAGACAAGGGCCGTGGCTGGTAGCTGGTCTTACTGAACTGACAGTTAACTGAAAATACAACTGATTAAATCACACACACACACACACACACACACACACACACACACACACACACCCCAAGCTCAAAATCAGTGCAGAGATCCTGCCAAAGACAGTACCATGTGGGAAAAAGTGTTTACACAGAGAAAGGATAGACACCTACATCAGTAAGTGGAGAATAAAATGAATGTTCACTCACGGATGAGCTGACTCTCGAAAGTGTGCCGTAGAAGATAAACAGTGAGTGCAACAAGAGAACCAAACGCCCGGTGACACTCGAGCACCATTTCCCCCTCTCCGGAGAGATCTGGCTGGATGATTATATCTCACCTGTGAGTCCAGATTAGAAGGTTCTGAACTAGGTACAGCAGCCAAGAACCTCAACATCCAAGAGCCCTGAAAATGAGCTTCAGTGACAGACCCTGACACAAGCATCCTCAGATACTGACCTAAACACACCTGTGCTACATGGAAAGCTCTCAGGGCTTAAGCACGGGTGTGTGTGTGTGTGTGTGTGTGTGTGTGTGTGTGTGTGTGTGTGTGTGTGTGTGTGTGTGTGTGACTGTGTGACTAACTGCCTCTGTTACCCACCCAGGTCTCCCTGTTGCAATGTGCAGCGGGCACATTCTTCTGGCTTCTAGCCTAAAGTCCTGTTAATTGATGGCAAACAAAAGAGCAATTGCCAGCCTTCGGAAGAGAAGCAGCTGGAAAGCAAAGGTGGGAGGTCCTGGTGGGGTAAAAACCTTACATTTTACCAACTTCTCGACTTTCCAAAAGCTTCCAAATAAAAAGTCACAAGATGACTAGCAAAATGGGAAGCTATGCCACAGCTGTGTGGTTTCATCAATCCCTGAGTTACAAACACCTGACTTATCACATGCCGTGGCTGCCACCCCCCAAGCCGAATTTTACTTCTCCTCCTGCCAATGCCATTTTTACTGACAGGAAAGTGCAGACACCTTTCTGAGCTTGAATCTTGCCTTCTTTCCCTGGGCAGACATCCCTTCCCCCAGCTTCCTATGACACAGGGTTGTGTACATCTGCATGCAGAACTCGAGCATCCTTTTTAATTGATCCTTCTCTGCATTTCACCCAGGTAACTCACACAGTGTTGTTTCCAGCGCCACAAAAGGACCACTGATGAACAAAATGATTATCAACAAATCTTAGCTCCCAGGCTTTGATTAAGGGGATGGAGAAGGTCTGGATATATTCTGAAATGAATTTAGATCAGGAATATAATAATAATAATAATAATAATAATAATAATAATAATAATAATAATAGAACAGATTCATTCTTTCTCATATTCCTTTAAGGATAAAGTGACATTGTGGTGGGTAGGGCACAATTTGGTGACAGCTATCAAAATTTAAAAGGAGTATAGTTTATGGTAGAGCAGGTGAGCAGTTAGGAATCCATGAGGATCTGACCACATCGGCACACAAAGGGAATGAAGTAGCTTGATGTGACTCATTGCATTGCTTGACACAGTGGATAGAGTGGAAATAGAATTATGGCCCAATTCTGAGATGACCCGATGTGTATCTGTTAAAAGAACGAGGCACATATACTTGGGAGCTGATCTAGACATTTCGTTATATTTCCAACTTGCCTTGTGGAAGATTTAATAAAAAGGCCTGTATTAAATTGCATCATAAAGTTAAGTAAGATCTATTGAGTAAAAATAAGTGAGTAGCAAAACAGGGGTTGAAAGCAGTGGGGCTGGATGAAAATGGGATCTGGACTCTGTCCTCCAAGGTCAACGGCCAAAGCTTAGCTGAGGTCACGAATGACAAAATGCTCACAACCAGAGACTTGACCTCAATCCAGGCGCAGCAAATAGCAGACTGATATTGTCAAATTATTGCAGCAAATAGCAGACTGATATTGTCAAATTATTCCTGCAGACGGCAATCCAGGCACCTCTTGGTAACCCAGACCTAGCTAAATGTCCATGTCCTTGACTAAATGGGAGCAAGAGCCCACCTAGAGTAGTCACAGGCCACAGTGCAGGTGACTGATGGCACATGAAAACCATCGTCACCGTCCCATTCCCTTCTTGTTCCAAGACGGTCATGTGGCCTGCTGTCCTTATTTTCTCTTCTGAGCTAAAGGGAAAAGGACAAAGTGTGTTCCTGTTTCTCTTAATGGTGTTGGTTCCAGACTGTCTCTAGTCTTTGCTTCTACAGAGCCTCTGCTGGCAAACGTCACAAGCCCTACTCACTGGAGGGAGAGCAGCACAGTGCACAGTATTCGGCAAAGAAATCCCTCAAAGGGCCCTAGTGAGGAGAAACTGAAACAGGTTTGGAAACCTGTCACTGTGCACAGGACAGAACACACACTTACAGAGAGAATGTGACCGGCCAACAGCACAAAAAATATAACCAGAAGTTTTTCAAACACAAGTATGGTGATGTATTGTATTCCCCAATATACCGTGTCTCCCAATAAAATAAAACTTGCCTGGAGATCAGAGGAAAAAGCCAGCCACTATATAGAAGTCAGGCAATGGTAGCACATGCCTTTAATCCTATCACTTGGCAGGCAGGGATCTGTCTGTATCTCTGTGAGTTCAAGGCCACACTGGGAACAGAGCCAGGCATGGTGGCACATGCATTAAATTCCAACACTAGTTAACCATGGAGGTATGGAGGTCTGTACAGACAGGAAGTGACAGAGCTTGGCAGGAAGAGGAAGTGATGTAGCTGGGCTGAGAGAGCAAATGAGAGAAAAGAACAGAAAGGCATATAGGTGTGGGTAGACAGGAAGTAGTTTGCCTTTGGAAGCTGTGGAGTTGGTGAGGTAAGGTTAGCCTTAGCTTTTCGTATTCCTCTGATCTCTGGTTTTAACCCCAATTTCTGGCACCGAGTTTGTTTTTATTAATAAGACCGTTGAGCAATTTGTCTACATACAAGGGAGTATGCTGTGGAGGACTTGGCTTCACCTATGTGGAAAGCTGTCTGACTCAAGTGTTGGTCAATCAAACTGCCAGCTAACTGGGGCTCGGTCAGTGCTGTGCAGAGGTCTCTGTGAGTGTCGACAAAAGATTCAAAATGAATTCAGAACTGTTAGGGACTTCTGGTAGGACAGTTTAGATGACTGTTTCAGGTTGGCCTTGGCAGGGTAGCCCAGGATGACAAAGAAAAGGGGACCATGGGCAAGAAGAATCTTCTACAAAGACCAGCCCAGGTTTTGGGGTCGGGGGGCACAGTGCTGCCACAGGGCCTTGGAGAAAGGTGGAATTTCTCGGTCTGCAGCTCCTGGCATGGGTCCATCCATTTACTGTGCTGCCTGTGTTCTGAGCTGCCGAGGCCAGGCCTCAGCCTTCAGAGACTGTGCCAGCCATCTCAGTCTGCCTGCCGTGTCAACACCCAGCAAGGCTCTGAGAAAGCAGCCTTATCTCTCTGTGCTCGATTCAAACTTTCAGAAAACCCACAAGATTCCTCACCCTGAACAGACATTCCACTGCTCATGGGAAAGTCTCCGGTCTCAGCCCTCCAGGCAGTTAGATCAAAGCTGACTCACAGACAGCTCCAAAGCTGTTCACCACAAGGGAACAAAAGCAGCCACCTGCCAAAGCCTGGAAACACCCTTGGGTCTGGTGCCACTGGCTGGCTTGTGGGTCTTTGACATCTCCTTGGTAGTGGGGCCTTGGTTATCTTCAGGCTCTTCTCGGCCCACATCTAGTTCTGACCCAGATCTGACTGTTGACCTCGGGTCACGCAGGCTATCTCTTTCCCTGCTGACAGTCTAACCCTGCTTCTGTTCTTGACATGCAGAGCCTGGTAATTTCCCCTCCTGGCTGTCACCTGGGGCTTCCCTCCAGTAGGGACAGGCTGTGCCCCACCCACTTCACTTTGAATCACTCCCTGTACCTGCTGTCCAGTGTCCCGCAGGTCTAGACCTGGATTCTTCCTGTGCTCCGCCATCTTTGGCTAGACTGCGTTCGTATCATCTGCAGAATGGGGAGGTTTACATCTTCCAGGAACGGTGCCTTGCTTTGCAGACACTTTATGTCCCCTTTATGTCCATGTATCCAGATGTCTTCTCCATGGCAACCTTGTCCTGTGCTGGACACTGGGCAACCCTGATCTCAGACTATTCATCTGCCCCACATTCTCCCATTGGCAGGAGGATCATAAGTCAGAGGCTAGCCTGGGCCACAGAGCTAGATCTTGTACACACACACACACACACACACACACACACACACACACACACACACACACACAGTGATGAATTACCCATCATTCACCAACAGTTTCTTCTCTGATGCAGTGACCCACTGGAGAAGAGTAGTTACAAGGTGGCTGTAATGGTGGACCATCTGTACACAAGCACTCTGACAGACATCAGTTCTGGACCCACCACCACTGTAAACCAATCAAAGAGCAGCCCATCTGCCTCCCTCACCTGGACCAGTGGTCCAAAGACAGGACTGAGTCACGTGTTCCTCTCTGCCCCCCTCCCTGCCGGCCTTGGTCACTGCAAATGGGTATTAGCATCACCCACTGCACACAGAGACAGTGCAGACATTTCTGAAATCATTTCTGAACAAGCACAGTGCCAGGAACCTGGAAACAGCTTTACCAATGACTGAGGAATGTGTGAAGTAACAGAGCAATGAACGAAACAGGGTTTGGTTTCCCACGCTGAAAGCCAACGGGACACTGGATATGAGACAGGAGGGTCAGAGTTTCAACAGTGGCCATCCCGTCCCGTGCGAACAGTGAGGACAGCTGTGTGCCAGCCCCGCCTGGCACTCACCGGTAGGGCTCCATGGTGCGCATGGCGTAGAACAGGGCCTCCTCCAGCATTCCCAGGTTGATGCAGGCATCCATGGCACAGTCGAGCACCTTCAGCTGGTAGATGTTGATGTCGGGAAGCCGTTCAGAGTTGCTGCTTATGATCGCCTGGCACAGGCCCAGAACCTGCTCCCACTCTGTTATTAACTTAGTTAAGGATTCATTGTCTTCATCAAGGAAACACAGAAGCAAGCAGAGATGTCTAAAAGGCTGAAGAGCTCCCAGGCGCAGGAGGGAGGAGGCGCCCATTATTTTGCATGGATGAGCTGCCTGGAAACATACTTGAGAGACAAAAACACGTTCAAGTGGCATCTTAGGGAAGTAAATTCTATTTACATCAACAAACCATCCTCTAACCCAGTCTGTACTTTAGGAGAATTAAAACTCCCAAAGAAATATTCCTTTTTCACACGTCTACATGTTTTCTCCTTCAACTTAGTTGAGAAATGAATGAAGGTGTTTATTAAACTGGACCAAAGCTTTAGTTCGGCTTCCAATTATTTACTGTGGAATTATTTCTGTTTAGAAGAGAGCATCCCTTCTGAAAAAGGAGAAGCTTCTGACTCATCTGAGAACTGGCCATGCATGGAGCCCAGCCCACACCAGTGCACAGGCCTGCAGCAGATGCAGCCATCTGAGAGGGATGCATTTCCAGTGGGTCTTATATTTAGTGTTTATTAGAAAACAAAAGTGAACCCAACCTATACTTAACTGAAATAAATGCATGCTTACTTTAAACCCAAACACTGGAAGAAAATATTAAAAGCTGTGCATGGTGGTACACACCTTTAATCCCAGCACTTGGTAAGCAGAGGCAGGTGGATCTCTGTGAGTTCAAGGCCAGCCTGGTCTACAAAGTGAGTTCGAGGACAGCTAGGAATACAGATAGAGATACTGTCTCAAAAAAACAAAAAGAAAGAGAATATTAAGAACAGTTTATATATGTGTACCATGAGCAAGGGAAAAAGATATCTTAAAAAGAGCAAGAAGATCCACTGCTTTCTGATCAATCACAGGTCAATTAAGTCAGTAATTAATTTCATGGAGCCCCCACGTGATATTCCACTCCCCATGAGTTGCACCTTGCTTCTCAGGGTGGCCTCAAATCACTGGCTCCAGTAACCAGTCTACCTCAGTCTCTTCAGTAGCTGGACCTATAGTAGGTGTGTGGTACTTGGTTCAGCTTCTAACCTTGCCCCTGCAGACTGATATCCCACCCTCTTTCTTACAGAGGCAGCTGGAGGCCTGGAGACACGGGGGTTCCTCCGTGGCCCAGCTGAAGGTGCATGTGCGGGATCTAAGTGGGGTCACCACCCAGCCCCTCTGATCCCTGTTGCATTGTGACTGGGCATCTCCTTGCCCTCCACCCTCCACTTCCTACCACTGTAGCTCTATACTATTCTGCTTTGATGTTAGAATTCCACTTGGGGAGAAACATTTGAAAATTCAAACTATAGAACAGTGTAGATCTTCATCATCAATAGAACTTGGTTCAAACCTAAGCTTGTTCTACCATTTGTCAGATTTGGAGCTTTGGGAAAGTCAAATGCTTTGAGGCAGGCTGGAAATAAAACACCTGCTTTGGTAAAAAATCAAACCTAAAAATGGGAGGAAATCTTTTTGTGCCCTCTCATGAGTTAGGCGGAGTTCTGTGTGTCACAGTCATTGTTGGGAAGTTTACTGGGATATGCAAAGCATATGGCAGTATGAGAGATGAGAGTCTTTCAACTTTCCTTCCTGTCACAGCCCTGAGCCTGACAGACTGAAGGGAAAGAGAATGGAGTATGGAAGAGCATGGAGGATGGAATCACCCTCCCCCTGTCTCTTCACAACTCCATGTCCCATGCACTTCCCCTAAACCTTGATTCCAGCCCTCTTCATCAGTGTCCTGACACAGCAACCCTTGCCCTGGACAGACAGCCCATGTGTGCAAAGCTCCTCTATCCCTCTCCCCACAGAATCCACTTCCCACTGCTGGTGCCTGTAGAGCCCTACTTCCAAAGCATCAGGGAGTCCTTTTAACAAACAAGCCACACCTGTGAATGGGGAAGACTATCTTCATGAACCTGCCAGAAGAGATGTTTCCTCTCCACTGAGGCACAACACCTTACTCCAGAGCACCATTTCCTTGGGAAGAATTTCAAGCTGAGGGCCCTTCATGTCATCTCTTAGGGGTGAGTCCTGGCTCCGATCCCAGAAGGGGTTCATGTACTGAAGACCGTGATTTGAAGTTATTGACAGTCTTTTGTATTCATGTGACATGGATGTTTCAAGCTTGCTGAATGGATCCTCCAGAGGTTGGGGGAAGCGGTGTCTTAGGCAATGCACTGATTTTGAAACAGATTGCCATGCTAACCTCCGTGGCTTTTCATTCCAGGATTAGATGTTTGACAAACTGTCAGGAGGAATGGCTGTCTCTTACACAGTGCCAGACATTTCTGTGGCAAGGCTTGGGCCTTATTGTAACATCGTCTGCTGGGTCCCCATTGTTACTTGCCTACTCATTTCCATAATGTACTCCACCTCAAGAAGCTGAGGTGAGCCGCCGTGCGAGTGGAAACCAGATGTGCTATTCTGTACCCCACACAGCAATACATCCACACACCCTATGCCAAGCAGGAAAGGACTTCTTGCCAAGCTCCCTCCACAATACTGGCAACTATCTCCTGGCAAATCAGGTAAAGCTTTTCATGTAAGCTGCTCCAGGGAAGGGGGAGGGAGGAACAATTTTAACTACAAGATTCTTTCCAGGTTAACGCAGACATGTATCTGCTCGGAGATTGACCCGTGCCACCTGTGGTGTCTACTATAACCACTGTTCCAGTGAGGCTGAGCGCTATACCAAAGAGGACCCCAAAGGCACAGTGGGGGCTTTCTTTCAAATGCTCCTAATGACTATAGGAGGGTGGGGACAGACAGACAAGGGAGTGAAGTCACTTGGGAATTAGTCATCTTCTTAAGACAGACTGCCAGAGCAGGGTCTATGCCCATCTAGCCATGCTACCCTGCTTAACATCATTCTGGGTCCCTTTGCATAAAAACTAACCCTGTGCCCATTTCCAGCAGGTTCTTCCCTCATGTGTGGCACACTGACCAGAACCAGGAGCACACCATGTCATCATCTGCATATTAGCATGTTTCTTCCCTCTGAGACACTCTCCTCCATGGCTGGCCTAAAGTCCAACTCACCTCCCAGACACAGTGGAATCATCACTTCCTCTGTAAAACATTAATCTCTCTCTCTCTCTCTCTCTCTCTCTCTCTCTCTCTCTCTCTCTCTCTCCATGTGTGTGAAGATATATATATCTTCACTAAAATATGTATTGTATTATTCTGCTTTGCACTATTATAATGAAATATCAGATGCAAAATACCTTATGAAGCAATGATAGGCTTATGAGTCCCAGAGATTCCAGAACAGGTTCAGATGGCCCCGTTGGTGTGGCCTCCAGTGAGGGCACCATACGGCCAAGGTGGGAGGGGGTGTCAGGCAGCAGAGTGAGGTCCCCTTGAAGGCATTCTCCCAATCTGACTTCCCAGTAGGCCCCACTCCTTAAAGGTCTGCCATACCTCCCACTAGAGGTACCCTGGGGGCCAGATTTGGACCTATGGACCTTTGAGAAATACTCCTCTGAACCACAGAACAGAGTGATTTGCACAATTACTATCCCACGATGTCAGAGTTGTGAATGTTGGACTGTGTCTTATAAATTCTGCCTGAATCACAGGGGTGGATTAGGACTAGCAAACACCTGACTAGCCAAATACCTGGCAGAGTTGGTTACCACTAAAGCCTCATCCAGGTGAGACTGAGATGCTCTGTGGTCCACTAAGGCCTGATTCCTGCTGAATAGGACCACAGAGAACAAGACTTCTCAGGAGTGTAGCAACTCTAAATCTATGAGCGTCAACCCAGAGCTGGCTGTTTCCAGGACCTTTCATCACATTGACAGGTGGAGTTTCAAACTCCTCCTCAGCTCTCTGCCATTCCTCATAATGAATTTAATTCCTCTACAGCCCTATTAATATTCTACACCCCAGGCTGAATCTGAGATTCTAGATCGGATCAGCCCAATGTCACCTCCTTTCTCATTTTATAGTCTATATTTCTATGACTGCAGCCCAAGATCACAGTCGTCTTTGGGGACTTATAACATGCTTGTACACTTTATTAAATTTTACTATTTACCAAAGCAGAACCCTCTCGTGTGTTCTGCTGCCAAGCTTGATGCAGATTGACACGCTTCAACTTCTTGCCCCAGACAGAAGACTTTATATAAACGCTTGTCAAAGTTCATCCTCTGACGTTCAGTCACCATTCAGACTGCCAAGGATCCTCCTGATTCTGCTGTCCCTCCTCTGCTGTCCTTCCCATCTCCACATGAGTGGAGAGTCTCTTCATCCGGGGACTGAATCAAAGGCGGAGGAGACAGAGCACCCCAGAGCGAGGCTGGTGTCATTTGCTAACTGAGTAAGATGCCTGGATCTGCTAGGATAGAACGCAAATGTCTTGACCACTTCTTTTCAAAGCCTCTAATGAAATCAAGATGCAAACTTTACTTAAAGAAAAAAAAAATCTCCGACTCTGTGGATGGATTTGTTCTTAGTAAACTTCTCTTTCTTACTAACCAACTGTAGTTCATTAGTAAGACTTAACAAGCCCACTGAGCTAATGATTTCTGTAATTACACACTTCACTACCGAAAGGAGAACCTACCTATCTTCCCGTCCTTCACAGTTCTCTAACAGCATCATAAACTGGAAACCTTAGTTGCAGATTTTGTTGGTGTCTGGGATATGTTCATCCCAAAGCATCTGATGACCTTTTGGTGACCTTTTCATTCGGTAGTCTTTCTTACCTGTAGTTCCCCCCATCACATTTGCGTCTGAGTGGGATCCTCTATAGACAGTGACCTCTGTCACAGCTTCCGCCTATCCCAGTCCTGACCCTGATCTGGAATCCCCTTCACACAGTAAAGCACCTAGTGGTCATCCCAGATGATCCATCATATGCTGTCTTCCTCTGCTCTGAACTCTGACCTACTCACGTCCCTTTTCATTCACGCCGAGGGACTACATAACAGAGAACCCATTGCTGCTGTTTTGTGACTGGTTGGTAGGTTTGAGGGTCAGTGGTATTGATTTATAAGGATTCGAACATTCCTTTCCAGAGACTAAAGTGGTTGCAGGAGGAAGGGGGTCTAACAACTCAACTTTTGCACAGAAAAGGAGGAGGAGGAAGAAGAGGAGGAAGAGAAAACAAAACAAAACACCAACGACTTTCCTTCCCACTATGACCGGGCCATACTATTAACTGGTGGTAAGGTATTTCTAAGGTTCTGTGCTGATCTTACTGCAGTCCTCCTGGGCGGTTCCCCACACTGCTAGCTGGGCCAAGGCAGCACTGAGAGCTTGCAGACCTGGCCCTGGCTCCAGCGGCTCCCAGGAAAGCAGCAGCCAACAGCTGGGCTGGGCCTGCAGGTGAAAGGATACTCCAGTGTGCCTTCAGCTCTTCAATTTGTTTCAGTGATTCTTGAACCTCCTTCCATATTTGCTCATCACCCGTTAGCATATCAGCATCCTGTTCGGGCCAAATGGGAAGACAGGCAAAGAAGACAAATGGCCCAATTAAAACCCGGGCAAAGGATTTGAACAGACATTTCTCCAAGAAAGACACACAAATGGCCTACAAGCACATGAAAACATACTCGGCGTCATTAATCATTAGGGAAATTCAATTCAAAACCACAGTGAGATGCTCCCTCCTGCCCGGCAACACAGCTCTCACCTGCTATAGAAAAGCAAGGAACAGGAGGTATCATTAGGGATGCAGAGGAGCTGACGGGCTGAGGCTCCACGGGTGGACATGTACAGCGAGTGGCCTGGCTTTGAAAAGTGGGCTTTTCTGCTCCTCAAACAATTGACCTAATTTGTGCTCCTTACCACTTATGCCAAGAAAACGTGGGATGGAGCACCACATTGCTGCTGTTGTGTGGCTGCTTTGCTACGAAGCTTCTAGCAAACACAGAAACACCACGTTAAGAAACACCACGTTACTGACAGTGTTAGCATCTCATTAGTCCTACTCCTGGGCAGGCAACCATGAGGAATGAGAACATGGTCAACCAAAAACGTGTGCACCAATATCTGTAGTCCCAAAGTATCCCAAAATGATGTAACTCGAATGTCCATCATCTGATGATGGACAGATAAATAAAAACTCATCACAACTGACTATTACTCATAATAAAATTAACAGAGGATTCCTACATGCTCTAACATGGATGAACCTTGGACACATTATTCTGAGTGAACAAAGCCAGTCATTTTGTGCTGGTGAGATGGTTCGGTGGGTGAAGGTGGCTGCAGCCACATGGGATGGCCTGGGTTCGAGCCCTGGGACCCACACGGTGGAGGAGAGAACTAACTCTTGGAAGTTATCTTCTGATCACCTGTGTCCCATAGCATGCACATGCCCTCCCCCAATAAAATGAAATAAAAATATAATAAAGGACTCTTAAAAGACTCTACATTATATGATTCTATTTATATAAAATGCCCAGACTGGGAAATCCACAGAAACAGACGGTAAATTGGTGGTTGATTAGGGCCAGAGCAATTAGAAGGAATTGGGGAGACTGCTAATGGGCAGGATTCCTTCAGGGATAATAAAAGTGTTCTAAAATTGACCATGATGTTGGTTGTATAACACTAAAAAGAGACTAAAACCCATTGATTTATATGTTGTAAACCGAGTGAACAGAACATTATGTGAATTATACCACAATAAACTTGTTTTTGAAAAGGTATAAGAGAAAGATTTTTATAAAGCTGTTATTCGGGGCTGGAGCAACGGCTCAGTGGTTAAGAACACTTGCTGTTCATCTAAAGGAACTTGAGCTTGGTTCCCAGCACCTATGTTGGATGGCTCACAACCACCTGTAACTCCAGCTCCAGGGAAGCCAGTGCTCTCTTCTGGGCTCCAGGAGACCCCACACTCACGTATGTGCACAACCACACACAGTCATATACACACAGAATTTCAAACATACATACAGACACACACACACACACACACACACACACACACACACACACACACAATCTTTCCTCTAAGACCCATTCTTTTTTAGGAAACAGTATAGTGGCCAAGCATGGCTTGCCAACACAGCCAGGGTAAAGGAGAGCAAGTCTACTACACTCATGTGGACCAATCCCGACGTCCACAAAAATCTGGGAGAAAACAAATATCTTAATAATAAAAAAGTCTCATATTTTAATGATTTAAAACGTGAAAAAAAAAAGCCATCGAGATGGTGGGCTAGTGTTGATTAAACGTCTGCTCTCTTCATTCACAAGCAGGCCTCCTACCTTTCCTGTTTGCTAATGAGCCCTCAGCACGCAGCGGAGTGCTGGGTTCAGGGTAGGTGTGTGGTACGGGGCCTGCTGTGTTCTCAATACCGTCCCATTTCATCTTTACACAGCTCTCATAAGGGTAAGGCCATCCCTGGTGCATTCATGGGTGGGGAGTGGGTGCAGGCCACCCTGGGCCAGACAGTGGGGTCCCCCTGGTCTTTGGAATACTAGAGCAATGAGCAAAGCAACAGAAGAAAGTCTAGCTTCAATTCCAAGTAAAATACTCGTCCCCTTCAGGTCACATGGTATCTATCTGCCACTCCCATCTCCAACCCCTGCATGCCTAGTTTTCCATGCATAAAGCTTTGAGTCTGAAACTAGATCCAGAAAGATTCTAATTATAATGTGCCTCCCCAGGAACAGAGCAATCCCTGTGAGAACCACTGTCATGTCAGAATAAGTCTGTGTTACCAGATGTGTTAACATTATCCTGGTGTTCTGGCCAACAACAACAACAACAACAACAAAAAGGCACGGAAAACAAGATTCTAAGTGCAACTGAGACAGACGGTATACACAAGAAGTGAGGGCTCTGTATCTGTGAACCGAGGCTCTAACATTCTCTGTCTGTGCTACGTGTATGTGCAATGTATATGTGCAACAGAAGTTACTTTTGGAAAAGACTCCACACATGCATTCCCCTTTTAGGAGATCCTACAGGCAAATCCAGCTTTGTATCCACAGAAGGGGTGGGGGTGGGGTGTCTGTGGAGAGGTGCACACCAGTCTTCCTCTGGGTTCTTGCTCCAAGTTCATGGTCATCACCTAAAGTCTCAGTTTGACCATCTCATCCTCCTGCTTCAGCCGGTCACAGTCATTCATCTTTAAATATGCCCATCTGGCTTGGCAGTCCCTACAGTGGACAGAATAAGAGATCCCAAAGGTATCCATGTCCTGATTCCCCAGAACCTGTGGTGCTAGGTCACCTGGAAGAGGGGACTGCGTTGTAGATGAGATTAAGAGTTCTTTACAGATGATTATAAAACCAGGACTATCCAAGTGGGCCCAATACAATTAAAAGTAGGAGAGAGAAGCTGAAGAGGAAGTCAGTGTGTTGTGTGTGTGTGTGTGTGTGTGTGTGTGTGTGTGTGTGTGTGTGAGAGAGAGAGAGAGAGAGACAGAGACAGAGACAGAGACAGAGACAGACAGAGACAGAGACAGAGACAGAGACAGAGACAGACAGACAGAGAGAGACGCGCGTGCGTGTTGGGGGGTGGTATGAACTCAATCAGCAATGCTGGCTTTGAAGACGGAGGACAGAAGGAGTCAAGAAACACAAGTGGTCCCAGAGACTGGAAAAGTAAGCAAGCAGATTCTCCTCTGCAGCCAGTGGAAAAAAGTGCAGCCTTGAGGATGCCTTGATTCTCACCCAGTGAGATAGGCTCAGGCTTCTGACCTATATAGATGTGTAAGATTAAAAAGTCTGTGTTGTTCTAGGCCACTCGGTTTGTGATCAGTTGGTACAGCCAAGGAGAAAACCAGCACACACATCTTCTGGACTTCTGGCTACTGGGGCTGCACATAGCCCTCCCTGATCCTGAAATGAATTAATTTGATCAGTCATTAACTCTATTAACATGTAATGAGTGCCTACTAGGAACTGCTGTAAGCACTGGGGTGGAGCAGGAAAAAAAAAAGTCAGCCAATCACGATGTTTACACAGAGGAGATGAGATGGGTCAACACAGGGAAGAGGGCTGGGGGTCTGGGGGAGTTTCAGAGAAAGTGTCCGGGGACGGGCTCGCTGAATGTTGTTTGAGCACAGGCCTGCAAGGTGTAAAGGAGCAGCAGACAGGAGTCACAGAGAGAAGGACAGCAAATTGGAACACGCTGAGCCAGGGGCAGGCCAAAAGGCACGGAGGTCACTGTGGCCCAGAGCTTGTGGGCTGCAGTTTACGTGCATGTGGCATCTGCCACAGTTACGGGTCAGTTTCCTAAAGCTAAACACGGGTCTTCAGTTTTCTAAATCTCACTTCTTCTCTGTCCCTTTCTCTCCCCACACCTGCCACAGAGCCTCGCATGGCACACAGCTCAGCTGAATGATCTAAGAGTGGATCTGGAGGAGGAGAGGTCTACTTGGAAATTTCTAGATGCCTCTTGCGTGTGTCTCAATCCCCCCATCTCACTTGTAGGACATCCGTGCCTGGACAGTCCCGGAGGGAGGCTGAGGAACAGACACACACAGCTTCTACCCCCAACTGCCAAGGCAGGAGTCAAGGCTGCTGGTCTGGCTCCGAGCCCAGCCTCCTTCCTCTAGACCGTCTTCATACAATCTGAATTTGCCTTTCTCCTGGGCTTGCTTCAAGGGGGAAATTTATCTGTGAGTTGAGAAATCCAAAGTATCTTCAACCAGGGTCCACTACTTGCGTTGGGAAAAACAGTAAAGATCCTAATGTGGACTGCAAACAAATCTGGTGTGCGTGCGTAAGATGAGTGAGACCATGGCCCCCAAAGAAAGCAATTTCGTATGGGAATTACAACTAAATGTGCCACCGGGAACACAGTGTGATGGGCTGTTCCTGGAGGACGACCCTAAGCCTTTATTTACTTAACAAACACAGAGTCTCCGAGAGCGCTCTCAAGCATTTGATGACAATGGTGCTGAGGGTACTTCGTGCTGGGGCTGGAGGAGGCCATGCTCAGGGCTCAGAGCTGAAGCTAACACCTGCTGGAACGTTCCACCGTGGTCAGTGTCTCTGCACGGCCCGTCCCTAACTCACTTCGCTCCTACAGGCTCCCCACGTCTGTGCCCACAGTGGGGTCTGTCTCACCTCTCCCAGCACCAGGCTAGAGGACCACACTCGGTTGTGTATGCACACACACAGGACTCGTGAATATCAGCAGAAAGGGAAGCAGAGCTTCAGCCTTCCATTCTTTTCAGTGCACAAATATGAGAGACAATGAGTATGTTCATCTCCCAAATCCTGAAGTGTGAAACCAGTGAACATCTTTGTTTCTATTGTTTTTTTTTTTTTCTTATCCAAAAACAACAATACTTGCTATCATTCAGGGCAACTTATGTAGGAAAAATAAAATTCTCTCCAAATTTCAGCTTTACTAATTAATTATAGGGCTTGAATAGGTGGCCCTCCTATCTGCCTTTAGAAGATGGATAAAATATTCATTTCACACATATATCTCTAAAGTATCAAATGTATTACCATGGG